ATGGACCGAATACGGACCGGAGAGCCATAGAAGAAGAAGAATGGCTCACACAACCGGACAGACCGACTGGTATCCAGGAAGGCAACTCTCAAGATAACTTGTATGTTCAATAGTATTTCTTATTTATACCTGCTGTTTCTCTGGATGTATACATGGATGCACATTGTGGGGGCCGGGTCCTCGGCTCAGTTCGCCCAAAGTCACAAAGAACTCTCCGATCATGCTGTGACTGCCACTACGATTCCAGTCATAACACAACACTCTGATGGACCGGTCCATGTCTCCACCGCATAGTGACCGCACAGATATAACGAACGGTTTCCAGTCTGGATTTAACGTCCACTTTATCACTTCTGTTCGATGTATGACACGATATTCACCATCTTCACCAACTTTGTAAAACTCCAGGAAAGGATCAGACCTAAAATTACACACAACTTCCATCATTAGGTCTACCTACTCTTAAATAACTAACTTAAGATTTTATTGTAATTTTTCATAAATTTCATCAAAATTAATTTGGTAATTTGAGAGGCGAAACATTTGGATAAACAGCTGCAAGGACATCACCTCCCCCCAGAATGTGTTAATTTTATTCACTTTGCGCAAGGAACGTAATCAGCAGCTCGTGCCACATACTTGCCAAACCAGTCTTTGCGATCGAGTTTCCGTCCACTGAACTGCAACAGAACTTCATCTCTGCATACTGACAACTCCTCAGCAACAACTGTCAACTCACCCTTGTTGTATGACAACCCTGTCAGTGGCAATGTCACCTTTCCTGATGATACAATCTGAGATACAGAAGTAAGGAGGAAGCAGAAAAATGAATATTAAGAAGCTTCATAACCTCTTCCGTAGTTACCTGTGCGATCAAATGAAGGAAGATGAAATTGGCAGAGCACATAGCATGCATGCGTCAGATTCTAAATGCATTTTCAGTTTTAGGTTAAAAGCCTGAAGAGAGGACACAATTTCCTGGACCTAAGCACAGATGTGAGGATAATATTAAAATGGATCTTGAATTGAGTATGAGGCTGTGGATTGGTCTGAATTGGCTCAGGAAAAGGTTCATGCAGGCTCTTGTGAACATTGTATGGAACCTTTGCATTCCACAAAATACAAGGAATTTCTTGATAAACTACACAGCTACTAGCTTCAAGAAGGGTTCTATTCCATGGACTATGCTAATCTACTTTCAGTCTTGTAGTTCTTATACATTTTATATTTTGGTGGAAAAAAATCATAAATGGTCTCTGAGTGAATGGAGCAGTGTAAATTACAGTAAAGACTGAAATATCACACACTGACACTTATCGAAAACCATTCTTAGATTGTCAACAGAAATCTTACCTGTCCGAGTGTTAGTTCACAGGATCCAAGAAAATCATGCTTCTCCAGTCTTGGATCATGTGTGTCCACATCATATACCTCGAACTTAATGTTCTGTTGCTCCTCAAACCGGTATAACAGATGCACCTGTTTGTCAGAAAGTCATTAGGAAGCCTGCTTTTACTGCAGCCAATTATTAAGGTGGCGACTGACTTGTAACATTTACTCGTAATGTATCATTCGCGGCGAGCATGTTACATTACACAACTGGTGTGGCGTATCGAATGCTCGTTTTGAACGCTCGGCTCGACTGTGCTCATGTGTGCTCCATTCATTTCATTCAATATGTCGGACATGGAGGTTGTGTTATCTTTGTTCCATTTAATACGCTACTGTTATCTAAAGAACTCGTGAATGCTCCTTACGACGCCGCTCGACTGACTGACTGACTTGTAATGTAACACTCAAAGGGATTCGCGAAAAAACCGACAACACGATGGAGCGCCCGCGAGCGTGAGCGGCTCGCATCGAGCGGCTCCGTTCGCTGTCTTCACTTGTGTAATGCTCGATTTGTAACATGTTACATTACAGGCAAATGTTACAAGTCAGTCACCACCTTACATATTTACTGACCAAAGGTGCTGATATGATGTACACCTAGGGGCTGTGCCATAGCACAGATGGTTAGTTGTTAGCGTCTCGCCATGAAAGCTCGGGTTCACTGCCAGGGAAGTAAATGTGGGATTTATGGTGGACAGAGTGGCACTGGGACAGGTTTTTCTCCGAGGCCTTTGGTTTTCTCCTGTCAATATCATTCCACTGCTGCTCCACATTCAATCATGAATCATCTGAGGGATGGACAATGGGCCTGTTCGTGGCCACAGGTCTGCACAGAGACGTAGTCTCTCCCCATTGAGGGTAACAATAAAAGAAAGAGACACTGCTAAATATATGAGGATACTATATCAAAGGAAACATGAAGTTGTGCAGAAGAGAAAAATATTTATTCCTCAAAAACTGGGATACAAAATAACGAAGCAATGTTCATTAAACACAATTAAGATTGTCAAACATTTCCTCAGAACCACTCAGGTTTATATCTAAATCTCACCAGTTCACTATAATCTATCTGCTGATTTCACTCAACATGCCACTGAATAGCATACGAACAAACATTGTTTTGTCCAAAGCAGAAGTTCCCAGGAATATATTAAAAAAAAAAGAAGACAAACACAAATATCATACCTCTTAAAACACAGGCAACAAAAATCGTGTCCTGTAGTTACTATATTCAATTCTTACGATTTAAAGTCTTAAGTAACAGGAAAATTAAGTTCCATAATTTCCCATTTGTTGTTACCTTTTTAGCAAAGTTAGGGTTAAGCGTGTTGTCTATAGTCTCTGTCCGAGAAATCTCCTGCCATTCCGTCATCTCAAAGTTCTTGAGGTATGTAACACACATGGGGTCTGACTTAGAAAACACATCACAATCCAAAAGATTCCTGCAACACGTGCATGAAAATAACAATGACGAAGGAGACAGGATTGTCACATATAAGGTATTATATGCTGACAATGACGCTGCTGTACAAACTTTCTTAAATAAACTTTCCTCAAGTTTCCTCACACATGAATAAAAGGTTCTTGTGGGTTATAAGGACACATCGCTTTAAAAATAGGTTAGGTTAGTTGTCATTTATTGAAATAAAATACAATAACTTTCAAGTATATGTCATTTATCCACACACATTAACCTAACCTAACCTATTTTTAAAGCGATGTGTCCCGATAACCTACAAGTACCAAATAAATGAACAAACAAGTGACAGGTGATTAACGCCCCCACAGATAATATGCATGGGATGCAACTGCTACATATTTTTGAGCCATTCGTACAATTAGTGATTAACGCCCCCACAGATAATATGCGTGGGATGCTACTGCTACATATTTTTGTGCCATTCACACAATTGACTGAAGAACAGTTCTGTGTATCATAAGTAGATGAGCAACTATGAACTTTTCAAACACTCTACTCCGTGAGTGAATATGCATGTGTGTTAGTTATAACATACCATAGGATAAAGTTCGTTTTCGTAAAAATTAATTGTGCAATTATATTATTTGTGTTACGGTGATGGTTGTGTGGGGCAAGGAATGTAGCATCATGGCATGCTCAGAAACCTCTTACCTAATTTTACTAACAGCTATAAACCAATTTATATGGCATACCTGCATGAAATTGTAAGTTCTATTTCAGATGTAGGTTCTGAAGCTGATCCAGGTACAAAACGGGCCATTTTCTAGTTCAGTAAGTCACGCGCCAATTCTGAAATATAGTAAAACTATTATATAGCTCATAAAACACGAGCGTAACACAATTTTGACATAATCTGGAATAAGAAATGTCTATGACGACATGCAATTTACTAATTCAAATGCAGTATTAAATTACATGACTTGAAGATTGTTGACATGGGGTGTCTTATAACCCTACCATTTCACTGTGTTTATATATTACAACAGCATAAGAAAATTTTAATAATCCACAGGGTTTCATTCTTTAGCTAATTTCTTTCAACTTTAGAACCAATTGGCTGACATATTACATTTGACCACTGGGGTCATTCCAGCATTATACTTTGTCAATAACAATAGGATGGCAGACACGTTAACTTGTAGGTGGGAGTGATACCAGTGAACTCAACATGGCATCCTAAAATGATGCATAATAAAAATCGAACAATATCAAATTTATATTAATAAACTTTTCTGTAGAATGTAAAATGATGTGCCAGCCATGAAAAATTTTCATGTTGCATTTTGTTTGTCTTTGGAAACTAATGGAACATTGCATCTAGAAGTATGAAATTTTGTATAAAGATAAGTCATGAACATTCAGTAAATTATTCTCTGGTGATCAGTTGCATCAATTCAAAAAGAAGTCAGTTTTGGAGACTGTCTCCGACTCCTTTATCAGGGAATGATGTTATGGGTCTGTACTGTTGGTCACCAGCCCTATCTTCAAGGACACACACTGACCTATGAAGGATGACCAGCAGTCAAGTGTAAACTCATCACATTATCATTAAACTTGATGTCCCTGCACCAGCAAAGTCAAGTCAGTGCCCTGACCAAAAATTGCCATTTTTGTTTTGGTCATGTTTTGTCTTCAGAATCAAGCTAATTGCTCTGTCTGAATGTTGCGCGGCTTTCTTGTGGGCCTGATGGGGCATTCTGGAGCATGGTAGTGAGCAGTTGCCAGGCCTGGCATAGTGAGAATTCATTATCCATATTTAAATTGTACTGTCAGATCTCGATGACCCCCTTCACTAGCCAGTGGACTTTGAAAAGGTGGACTTCTGAATTCAACCCGATGATCGTTCACGAACACTTCTAGACGCCGCAATATCTACAGGCCTTGTAAAACGAACACGGCAACACTTTGAGGTTATATTCGACTAATTTAATTAGACGAACCTGTTAGAAATGAACAAGTAAAATTTTCCCTAATTGCAACACTAACTTGCAAAATATCTGCATTTACAAGCAATAAAAAAACTCTAACCCGTAGGATTCGATTTTATGACTCAATCGTAAAATCACCTACATGCGAGTCCATCGCGTTAACCTACGAGCTAAACCGTGTTTTGATTTTGCGCTATAAACTTACGTATATGCAACACAGCATTAGTAGGAATGGAAGACTGTGCAATTTGCTTTATGAATTTTGACCAGAACTATTGTTATGCAGGAAACAGGACATGCACGAAGTGCAATAACAAATACCTAATTTTCGTACTACGTAGACTGAAAACTTTACCACGCCCACTTTATTTACTGTTGTCATTTGTTTGTAGTCGTTTTCAGAACGCGATATATCGACCTTGGTGTTGGCCGTGACCTACCATAAATGTGCTCTCGTTAATGTAACACAATAAACCGCCGTGCACTAACTGAATGGGGATTTCTGGCAACTTGCATAATTCATACAACATGTTAGGAATAAGCGAAAATCTAAATACATGGAGCAGTGTCAGACAAATCGGGTACCCCGAGAAGTTAACTGCTGTTCACTATAGGAATTACTAATGTAGGAAACGCTAACCAGAAATCGTTACGCTTAGACAGTACGCATGGTAATAGCCAATTATAACAAGTCATTCAAGGATTTGTTACATTGCAGAAGAGATTTACTTCAAAACAATACAATATTATTATGATATTGTATTTACGAAACTGCAAAATAAACTTTGCAAAATAGGAATTAAGGTTTCACTGCGGTAAGCCCGAAAATGGGAAGATGATTGGTTTCAGAGGAATTTGCTGTGTCCATCATCGGGATGATTACGGAGTCGGTAAGCTCCTCTGAAATATACGGTGCAACTTTCAAGAAGGCACCACTTTGTACCAGTTATATTTTCCTGGCTTGTGACGCCATGTAAGTTTTATTTGTTACCAACATTTCGGAGAAACGGCGAAGATACTCAAACGTTGGTAACCTGAAAATTAAAGTATACAAAACAATAATTCTGCCTTTTGTTTTGTATGGGTGCGAAACATGATCTCTCACTCTGATGGAGGAACATGGATTGCAGGTGTTTGAGAACAGGGTGTTAAGGAGGGTATTTGGGCCTAGGAGAGAAGACGATGGGGTCTGGAGAAAACTACATAATGACGAACTTAAAAATTTATACTCCTCTCCCAGTATTGTCAGGGTGATTAAGTCGAGAAGAATGAGATGGACGGGGTATGTAGCGCGCATGGATGGGGCAAGAGGTGTGCACCGGGTAATGGTTGGGAAGCCTGAGAGGAAGAGACCGCTGGGGAGACCTAGACGTAGATGTGAAGGCGGGATCTATGGGAGATAAGAGTTGAAGGAGACTGGATTTTGTTGGCCCAGGACAGGGTCCGGTGGAGGGCTTTGGTTAATTCGGTTATGAACCTTCGGTTTCGGTAAGCCATTTAGTTAGTTAGTTTGCTTTCATCAGTTTGCCCGACTGTAGTAGACATCTAGAACTATACGGACAGTGAAACTCCTCTTTCTATTACTGTGTTTGCAGCACTGTCTCTTAAACAATCACAGATGCGATATGTGAAATTGGCGTAATTAGCGCTGTAGGATTGGCGTTTTGAACGTACCTGCCATCGGTGCTAAGTGCAACACGTGTTCTTGTTTCAACAAGTTTGTAGAATAATTACATTTATCTATGCTAATTATTTTGTGTATTGTGTAAAAGGACGAGCACAAAATGACCTACACTCAAGGTAATTTGGTAATATATAAATATAATATTTAGTAATACTAATTGGAGCTGAATAATGAGAAATATACAGTGGACAAGGATTGATGAATCTTGTTGTTTGTTAAGGTTTGAAATGGCGGAGAAAACCATCAATACCCAAGGGTGCCAAGGATTCAGCAATGCCCATTTGTGGTTCTTAACGTTTGCTGTATTTCGTGTGTGGTATGTATGTCTCAGTGACCATGCACTTATTATTTGTAATGGTTTTTTAGTTCATGCAATGGCAGAACTATAAAGTAAAGCTGTCCATGTAGGCGCTTGGGGGGAGAGAGACGGTATAGCTCATTCTTGACCTGGGTACTAGATGCACTTTACCCCAAGGGAAAGGACCCCAGAACCCATTGGATAGGAGGCTGGGTGTGCCCCAGAGCCAATCTGGATGCAGAGGCTGGAGGAAAAATCCTTTGTCCCCGTCAGGAATTGAACCCTGGTCGTCCAGTCCGTAGCCAGTCACTTTACTGATTATTGTTAATAAAACATCTTGTGAACTAAAAATGCATCACACAATAAGTAACTTACATTAAACGCTTTAACTTCGGTGCACATGTTTGCACAAACCTTCCTTATGTACGTCAATATCTTTATTATGTACCAATTCAAAATTCAGAAGAATAGGATAACAACAGAATTTATTTATGTAAGACTTGAGGTTCTCACAGCGGTGAGTATGAAGATTTCCGTCTTCTGGGTTGTCATCACCCTGATGACGGAGGCAGTAAGACCCCTGAAATGTTGGTAAACATCGACCAGACTACACAGCGCAACAACCCAGAAGACAGAAATCTTCAGAATTTATTTACATTCCATGGATCCTTAATAGGCCTAAACCAAGGATGTAGAAGATGTCATAGCACAAATACAATACTTGTTTATAATAGAAATATAAATTGCTTGGTTATGCCAGTAATTTAGAGTCAAATAAAGTATTAACCACAAAAATAATTACATAGGAAGCTTACATGCATTTGTAATAGCTGAGAATGTTTGGAGTGTGCCGGCTTAAACTCTTTTATATTGTGATTATTAAAGTCCAGTATATTAAACTACTTTTTTGATATTTTCTGAGGTTAGTGTTTGGCGCGTGAAGTTTATTTCTGTATCTCGTACTAATATCGTGAATATCTGAGTTTGTTTTAGATATTTATATGTTGTACACTACAGATTACAAATAATGAGAACAAGAATTCGGTGGCTGGTGGAAAAATATTAAATTTCTTAATCAATTCCCTTTAGTGCCTGACATTATTGTAATGATTTTAATTTGAATTTGAGATAATTTTTTTGCTGTTTTTTTGAGTTCCCTCAGAAAATAATTCCATAAGTCATGATCTAATGGAAGTAAACAAAGTAGACTAATATTAAAACTATTGTTTTCATGAGTCATGTGACATTTTATACATCCTTTGGTTTAGTCCTGAGAAGGATCTATGGAATGTAAATAAACTCTACTCTAAAGTCCTCATAGTAAAGTTTAGTCGAGGAATAATGTGTTGAATATGTGTTTTCGAATTTAAGTTACTGTCAGATTTGTAAGATGAGAAATTTTGTTGTTTTCTACTTCAATTATTTTAAGTTCATACTCTACAACTTTTTATTCTACGGCTCTCTGGTCCGTATTCGGTTTGCGGCCTCCTCAATTCTCCTCTTCCATTCGGTCCTCTGTTAGGTCCGTCTGTCTGAGACTTTGATCGAGGTCTCGAAACATCTTCCTTTTTACGGTGCAAGGTTGTTAGCCTTGCGACCAACCCCCAACCTGGAGGACCAGGGTACCTGTCTGAGTCTGACCTCTCCCCGTCGACCAATCTTGCTAGGGAGGCCCTACCAGTAGCTCTTGGGGTCACTGAGGTACTCAAGCCCCACCACCACGACAAGGTGCAGGTACCATTAAGTGGGGACTCTACAAATAGCGTAACACAATTTTTGTTGTTTGTATAAAATTTCATGAAATTTGTTTTGTCAACATTTATTGTGAGTTTATTGGCTTTAATCCATTTGTTCAAGCTAGCAGAGACATAATTCATGCAAATTTGTAAACAGTCAATTTCTGGATATGAAATAATTTTAGTATCATCCATAAAAAGTGTGGATTTAGGCTGAGATTTAATGATTGGTGGAAAATCATTGATATGTGTGAAGAAAAGCGGAAGACCTAGTATTGAACCTTGAGGCACTCCATGTTTTACAACATCCCAGGTGCTATCATTTAGGATGGTGGAAAATGGGTGTCTGAAAATTTAGGGGTGTTAAGGGCCTATAGAACAGAGGATGTTAATTATGTGTAATAAAGAAGAGGGCTGGAACCATTTACTTAGATGTGAGGAAAAAAAATTGGGCCACTTCGTCTGTAAGTTCTACGCTTGTAGGTTGGGCTATCAAGGAGAAAATTTTTGTATTGGCATCCATTTTTCAGATGTAGGTAATTTTGTATTAAAATGCGATGTAATTGGATAAATTGTGAGTTTTCTAAGAAATTTTCTGTAAAGGTTTTGTGAAAAATGTTGACAGATTTATTGTAATTATGTAACTGAAATTATCTAGAAGCAAAACCTAACCTAACAAAGGAGCAATCATATAGACAAATTTTTAACATTATCAGGGACTAAGAATACAAATACGGATGCATATAAAATACATTTAATGAGAGAGATTGTACTGTTTTCTGTCAGCTAAAATATTTTTCGAACTGAGCATCAGATATTGTATTGTCGTTCATTAGAATCGATTGATATATTTATTCAAATAATTTTGGTTTAATCGGCCTCTGGGGTGGAACTTATGAGAGAAATTTGCTCTAAATTGTCAGTTTCCATTTTACACTGGTAGTGTATGTAAGCGTACTCTAATGGAGTACACGAATTTGTTATGTTCATATGCATTTAGTTCAGGTGGAAATAGATATTGGTCTTTTCCTCTCCGTATTGTGCTGCACTCTAGTGGCAGAAAATCGCAACTTTACAGCAGCGTAATCTAACTGATGTCTGTATGACTAATTACAGAAATGTAGTGACGACAGGCAGAAAGATAATGAAAAGCAAATATCGTATGTGGAAAGTGAAGTCGGTAATTGTTAACTTGAAGCCCACCATATTTAAAAAGTGTTTAGATTACATCCCTGGTAAATATTTCAGCCTGGAACTACAAAAAAGCGGACATTCTGAGAACTGCTCAAATCTTGAGAAAGATATTAATGTTAATTTTAAAGTGCGTTTTACAGAAGCTACTATGTAACGAATCTCAGTGACAAGGTTTGATCCTGGGGTCCCCCTGTTTAATATGAAATCCTAATCTAAATTGATACGAAACTTAAATTTTGTAATTGATATCTCATTTCTTCCCCTCAAATTAGGTTATATTTCTTTGGTTCTCGGTAATAAGGTCTTAACTGAAACGCAGTTTGTATTTAGATGACTTTTCTGGATTGTGCGCCATGTAGTCCGCTAGAAGTTTACAGACGTTTCAGAAGTTCTTACTGCTTGTATTATCAGGGCGTTGTTGAACGTGAGTACCTCAGAAACGTCGGTGAACTTACTACCGGACTATATGGTGCATCATCCCATAATATAACTAACTAACTAACTAACTAGATGGCTTACCAAACTCGAAGGTTCATCACCGAATTAACCAAAGCCCTCCACCGGACCCTGTCCTGGGCCACCAAAACCCAGTCTCCTTCAACTCCTATCTCCCATAGATCCCGCCTGAGATTATCCTCCCATCTACGTCTAGGTCTCCCCAGAGGTCTCTTCCCCTCAGGTTTCCCAAATAGTGGACCCAACCAACCAGATGGCTTACGGAACCCAAAGGTTCATCACCGAATTAACCAAAGCCCTCCACCGGACCCTGTCCTGGGCCACCAAAACCCAGTCTCCTTCAACTCCTATCTCCCATAGATCCCGCCTGAGATTATCCTCCCATCTACGTCTAGGTCTCCCCAGAGGTTTCTTCCCCTCAGGTTTCCCAATCGTCTTAATTTCCGCCGTCATAAAAACCTGAAATTTCACGTAATTTTTATTAAGTCCAGCCTCTCTTATTGAGCGGAAGACTTCTTTGTAATATCTTAATTTTATTGGCTGTAGAACGCGTCTAAGCTAAGAATCAGTTACGACATATTATGGAACGTGCCATTCTAAGACTACCCCTGCCAAGTTATATTGGAAATTAGTGCATCTAAAACGTCCTCCTCTGGAGCAGCTTTCTATGAAATTACCACTCGACGCAAGGCACTTCAAGCCACCGATTAATTACTTCTTAAGCCGAGTAAGTGTGAGCTGGAGACTGAATGAGTCTCATGTCACGAATATTTGACGAAGTGGAAGTTGAACTGCTCCAAGTTTTGAAGTGGCAGTGGCTGGTATAGAGAATTTATAAGCTCATCTTTAACGCCGCGTTATCCTGTATGTCATTTATACACTCGAGACACGAATGTACAATTAATTTTGGGGTTAAGTTAAGTAGAACTTAGGTTGAATGAATTGGAAAGTTTATGGAAGAGGACAGTCGTGGCCTGTTTGAAGGGGCTGTCCTAATATTTTCTTGGTGAGATTGAGGAAAACCGCGATGTCCCACAAGTTGGGTAGTTTAAGTAGCTTTTCTGGCGATTTTTTAAAAAAAAGGGTAAATGGTGGAAATTATAATTTCCTGGACTTTCGAAGGAAGTAACAACTGCAGAAGACATTCAATTTAAAGTCTGCTTAATTTAAATGTAATTAAAGTCTTTGCTTAGATAAACTCATTTCACTGATGGGACGAAATCCTTGATCGAGACGGTTGTCAGGCGGATGTTAAAGAAACTTTTGCGTACTTGCGCCTAGGGAATTAAATTTGGGGAGTGCCTGCTAGAAACAGTGAAACCTTTGAAGAATTCGTAAAAAGAAGTCTTCGTGCATCCTGGGCTACAGAAATTTACTGAGTCGTTTTATAAACGAATTCTTTTCGTGCGTTCAACTAAATTATACAGCTGATAACGTTATTTTGTTTAGCTTATAATTTTCCCGCTTGATTTAAAACGTGTTATATTTAAAAGATTATTAAATATTACTAGAAAGATTTTTTTGTTTATTTGTTTTCAAAATTCCTATTAAATATTAAAATATTACTAAAATTAACATTTAAATATTTAAAATGATGTTCTCTATCGAAATGTTCGATCATCACTTTTTACA